AATGATGTTGTGCAATAAACTGAGGCTAAACTGTGAACCCTAGAAAAAAACATTAAGTCTTTGAAAAATAACGTGCCTGTACAAATACCAACCATGAACGAATCATCTGTTCACCACGGGATTACTTTCAATACAGAAATAATGAAGAGGACAATCTAATGTGCATCAATTGCCCCATGGAGATGCCTATTGGTAACTCCCAATTCCCAAATAATAGTCTGCCAGATGAACTTTCACAAGAATGCCACTATATCAATACCGATCACTTGATCCACGTTCTATAACTGTAGAACCTAAAACCGATAGTTTCATTCAATGGTATCAAACAAATCTCATATCTATGCTTTAAGTTTGATACGTGAAATTGATGTAGTGGATCGTCGGAAGACTCGACCTGCAAGAAGGATTTAGTTTTTCCCAATCTAGGGAAGAAGAATATGAAGAGCTCAAAGGCTTCAAAGAGTGTAATATATCATTCAATGAGCTTTCCCTACTACAATGCACACATATATAACCCATCTATAGAATATTCTAGAGAGATTTGTAACAAACTAGATAAGTTATTCCTAAGGAGGACTATTAGCTATAATGTTCCACATCATTCTCCCCTTGTGTCAAAAAGCTCGACTCCATCGAGGCATGTTATTAGAAGGGAGGTAGGGTGGCAAACAAATTCCTGGATCGAAGACTTTGAATGCAGACTCTAAAATTACCACATGAAGAGGCTTTCCCCAATCCAAGTGAGAAGGTTCAGCTTTAGAATCCTTGAATTGAACTAACATTTCAATTTTCCAATTGGTTGGTGAATATGAGTTCTTGGAACAGAACCAATCCTTTGTGAAATCAACGACAAAAACAAGATCACTGTAAGGATATAAATTAGCATATTTTTCCCAAATTCCACAAGATAGAGAGGTGAGCGCATTCTCCCATTTAGTTTTATCCCATTCCTCCTCCTCGACTGTTTTCATGAGCTCGAAGGCAAGTGCTAATATCTCACTGTTACATCTGAGGGAAACCCCCTTATCTTCTTCCTCAATGTTATGAAGCACCCATTCCATTTCTGGCTCGTAACCCTCCTTAGCTTGAGTTACCAACTCTTCCAACTTGGTATAACTTTCACTCCATGATGGATGCAATTGGTCACCTGCAAAGAAATGATATGCTTTCCCCTCCACCTCAATGTAGCTCCATCCAAGAGCCTTACTTTGGTTATTCTTTTTCAAACTAGATCTTACATTCTCAACATCATCCCACATTATCTTCTCATTTGGGTACAAAGGAAGAGCATTTGTGGCATCCTTCTGGGACTGGCGCTTTTGAAAGAAGGATACCAGAACTTCAATGAGGAAGTCCACTTTTGAAGAACACGGATCTTCTTTTGAAACAAATTTGAGCTTGTTGAAAATCAAGTCTTGGAGCTCCTCAGCGGGTAAGACAGATAACTTTTTGTAAAATCAGCGCGCTTGTTAATTGCACCAATATTGCACAATGCAAAGTCTCGCAGCTTAGGTATTTGTTTGAATGCCAGAATTTGAAAAGCTTGTAGATGGGCATAATGAGCTAGAAGCACATCATCATCACTCATTTGACTCCCGGTATGATCATCAATCTCAAAACCTTCATAAAACTGTAATAATTCAACCAGTTGGGAAAAAAGACGACCATTTTCATGAGTATAAAGAGCACTCAAATGACACTTGGGAACAACATCAACATCTGCAACAATGGCCTTCAAGAATCTTCTTGTTAGAAGTTGGCTCAATAAATCAATGAGGAACTCCATGAACCTTTCACAATATAGTATACAAGAATCATCCACTTTTTCACCATGCGAATCACCAAAATGGCTTTCTTTGCTATCAACTTGCTTGGCCTTCAACTCAAGTATCTCCAGAATTTCTTCAATTAGATCCCTTAGGAATGCTGCCTCCAGCATTTTTGAAGGATCAAATGGTTTTCCTAGCTTATTGACTTCTTTGGCCTCTTTCCTAATCATTTTTCTCCACTTGCTTGTTAGCTGGGGGTTTAAGCATAGCTCCGTCGGGAATCTATCAGGTGAAAGGTAGTGCCATAACTGCAAGCCTATTAACTTCAGAACAATTTCACTGACAATCTCATCTTCCGAACTCTGCACAGAGAAAACTAGCAAACAGGAAAATAGAGGAACAGAAGGTTCTGCTTTAAAATGAACTTGTGAATTCTCTTCTATAGTAAGCTTTCTTCCCTCTACCTTCAGCCGAAGAACCCTCCACAAGAATCCCCTAAATGCATCCTTCCGATCATGAAAGCAACTCCATGCCGCCACGTTTTCTTGAAACATCACATTAATCTTGAGGATCATCGACATAAGGTGCTGCTCGAAAGTAGCCGTTTCTGATGTGGGGTCAAGGAAACGGAGTGAAAGTGAGTGTGGAATCATACTGGAGTGAGAGAAAACAGCGGGCATGGGATTGCCAAAGCAGAGCGGACGTGAGGGCGGAGTGGTGTCGGTGCGGAAATCGTGTTGGAACGGCTTCGGATCATGGGTCTGGTTGTGAGATGAGGCGGAATCGGGATTGCAGATCTGGTCGCGATCAACATCCATCTCACGTGGACGGGAGGAGGGGCCGAATCTCGCGTGGACAAAAGGGGGCTCCGTCTGAGCAGGCGGCAATGGAGGAGTGGAAGTGGCGGGATTGAGAGGAGCTAGAAGTGGTCCAGTGAGCTGAGCAGAGGCAGAATCGATAACAACAATGGCAGTTGTTTCTTCAGCTTCCATATCCCGATCATCATGTCCACCTTTCTCAGTCGAAATAGCCAAACTATCTTTGATTCTGCTGTGCGAATCAAAGGCATGCTGAACATGCTCTAGAGGCCGGAAGGAATCGGAAGTGAAATCGGAATAAACTCCAACACAGGATATTGGGCGTGCGAGCAGATCTGAATGGCATTTGGCGTGCTTGAGCAGAGGGGGTTCGCGCCACTGGAGCGGGAGTTCGAGCGGAGGGTATTCATCAACGAAGGTGGGGGAATGGCAGGACTGATGGCGTTTGCGTGGAGTGGACGAGGAGATCAAAGAAGAAGAAGAATACCTCGGTATGGTTGCCGGCGACATTCTCATCTTCCTCATTGCCCGAAGGTTTTCTCGAATCCGATCAAGATTTCTGTCTACCTGATCGAGCGATTCCTTCGATTGAGCTTGATAGAAGGCGATCCGGCTTCGAGGAGCGTCGACAGCCCACCTTCCTTGGCGTCGATCGTCGTCGACCGCCAATCTTGTTTTGCGGCTTCGATCGTCGAAAATCAACTCAATCAGAGTCCAAATGAGTCTTAATCGAATAAAGTCCAACAAACCCAAGATCACCGAATTCCGACATCATTAAGACCTTCAAATGTCCAACGAACGGTGCACGATCGAGGAATTCAATATCGACCGTCCATTCGACCACTCCCTATTCGCCCCTGATCTCACCCCTATTTACAAGCTATGCCACCCATAAAAACTATAAATAGAGCCCTCATTCTTCACAAGAGGGACCCAAGCAAGAAGAAGTGAAGAATAAGAGAAGGGGAAGGAGAATCAACTCTTCCTCGACCACCGCCGGAGTTCTTCCCGCCGCCCGAACAAGCCAGGATTTTGTCGGATATTCGGGAGAACGCCGGAATTCTGCCCGACTTTCACGGGATGCCAGAATTCTGCCCAAGTTTCACGGGATTCTGAAATTCTTCCCAATTAACGACAGAGTTCCCTGCTGACGCCGAAACTCAGCTCAAATGATGCCGGAGTTCTGCTCAGCCACCAATAGACGTTGGACTTCTACTCGACGTCAGACCTTCACTCTTCGCCAAGTTTCTACCCGACGCCGGACTTCCACCGGTTATCGGACTTTCGCTTGACGTATATCTGAAGATGAATTTCTTTCCATTGTTGGACTTTATTCCTGACGCCGTCCTTCTGACCTTCATCGTCAGACACAGTCCTTTCAACCTCCGTCGCCAGCCGACTACGGTTCTCCTTACTTACGCGTCCGTCGACTACAGTCCTTCCAACCTCTGTCGCCAGCTGACTATGGTCATCCTAACTTACGTCGCCCGCCGACTACAGTCCTTCCAATAAAGCGAATACGTCAACAGTGACTCTTTGTATTCCCAACATGTAATGTACTTCATATAATGTACATCAATGATCAAACCCAAGGCCTTCCTCAAAGGAAGGGCTTCATTTGTAATCGACTATAATACTAGTGGATTCATTCAAACTGGGCTAGGCCCCGCGGTTTTTCCCCCTTTTCAGGGGTTTTCCACGTAAAAATATTGGTGTCTCATAAATGCTAGACCCTCTCTCTTATCTGATTGCGTGTCGGATTTTCGTACAACGCTAAGACAATAAACTTTATATTTTTCTACCGCCGCGAATATTCCTAGACGCAACAAAGTTGATCAAGTTTTCTCTTTCAGTTCAATGGCATATCAGAAACAGTTTCATTCAAATTCAATCATCATATTATAAGATTTAGAATAGCATAGGTTTTTTTATACTTATAATCTTTTAGGTGAAGTCGCAAAGGTTTTGTTAAGGTCCGTGAGTGTTTTGAGTATTTGATAGGAGAAAAATATGTTGATATAAAATATCAAATGATTTTCCCCTCTTTCATAAGCTTAATAATATATGAAAAATATGTTGATATAGAAATACTAAGTGGATGAACACCATCAAACACAACTTTGATCGCTTTGGTTCACGCAGCACAGAACTTCCCTCATAATCTTGTCTTCCATCAATTCTTAGTGGATTAAAATCAGGAAACAATAAGTACCGATGAAAACTTAATCAAAAGGAATAACAGAGAGTCAATCGAGAGTTGGCATAACTTAAATCAGATATAGCTTTAGCTAATTAATACCAAGATAATGCACCCAGAGGTTTCATTTTTCAAGAGAAATAGAAATATCAAGGTAATCAAAGACAAATTCAAGAGCCACGAACAGAAGGAAGAAGAGTGTCAACGCCGTCTCACCTGTATAATCCCTTTAATCCGCCAAACTCCACGGTTATGCACTACAATGTGGGAATCATCCGGGTGTAGCTCGACCAGCTCCTGCCTGACCTCCTCCACTGCAACATTATGATCACTAGTCAATCGCTCCGCCACCACATCCTTTCCATCCGGCGTCCTATGGCCGAGCACAGCACGCGAATCTCCCAAATTCGCAACGTAGAGCATATCCTCCGTAATCGCCCCAACAAGGCAACACGACCCAACTGAAGCAATCTGAGGCCGAGGGCAAATTATTGGGTCAGGTGACCGAAACCATCTCTCCGTTCGGTCGCCAATAAAAATGCGACATCTGTTAGGCATTTTTTTAATTTAATATTAACGCTGAGGCCGAGACGGCCAATATCGCTTCACCAAATGCAGGAACTCCTCCTCCGTCGCATCGAACGCCTTCTTTATCACGTCGGCAGATACGCCTCCTTGCTCCGAAGCAAACTCTACAAAATCAAAATCCAGCAGCATTAAACCCAATCCAACCAATTCGATCTAAACAGCAAATCAGATATGAGAATTCGATGTACTCACTGTGGAGGTGAGGAAAAAGCCGGGTGTTAACGAATCGGGAGGCTTCGGGACCGCCATGGCCATCATAGACGCCGATGAAGGTCGCAAATGGGGTGGTGACGACCTGGCCCTGGTCTTCTAACATAGAATTAGCTTGTACGACGGCGATGGAGAAGACGCCGTCTGCGTGTGGCTTCAGATCCAGATGCCATAGAAGCCCATCGCCGCCACCGAACCGCCCAAAGCACCGCTCTAGCCGCCGGAAGAACGGTCGAAGCATCTTCGCTCAATTTCCTTGCTTCCAGCGCCGCTCTTCTGATCTTTCTTGTATTCGATTGAAAGTTTGGGACCTGAATTGAAAAGAGGAAATGGATGTCAGTATAATGGATTTGAAATGGGAAGAATACCTAATAAGAGTGGCGTTCGCGTGTATAACGCGTGAAGAAGAGGGAAAGTGACGAAAACACTTCAAGTTTCGCGGGAGCAGAGGATATTTATTTTTTGGGATTTTTACATACATGCCACTTTATAACATGTATATTACATATTTAACACTCAAAACTTAAATATATGTTTAGTAAATTCATTTGATTGTATTTTTATTGTAATAATTAAATAACGATATGTATAATCTAAATTAAAAATAGATATTTAAGTATACGAAAACAGCTTAATTAAAATTTAATTTTGGCATTTAATATCTAATTTAAAGGATATATAAATTTAAATTTATTTGGTAAAAAATGAATATATTTATGATACGTTTTAATTAATATTGATTTAATATTTTGGAATATTTGATAATCAGTTTATATTTATAATATTTAAAAATAAATTTAAGATTTAATAAATACGTTTAAAAGACCATCCTATTAAAATTTGTGTTAGAAATAATTTAAAAAATATATAGCATACATATTTACATCACAAAAAATCACCTTATTGTAGTATGAAAATTGGAGCATACCTAAATTGAAAACTAAAAAAATTAAAATTGGGTCATTCAAACTTCGACTTCAACAAACTTACAATCCAACGCTTTGCCACCATTTCCTATCTTGCTCAGTCACCGTCGCCAAGCCTTTGCTAGCCGACCATTGTTAGGCCTTTGTCAGACTATTTTCATCATTGAACATCCACTCGATTGTCACTATTGGATCTTCGCCATCTAAACATCACTATTTGGCCTCTAATTGGCCACTCCAGCATAATCTTTATCATTTGTGAGTCATTGCATTGCCTCCCTTAGTGCACCGCTTGACACGTTCCGTTGAACTCTCATTGTCATTCATTGTCACAGGCTTAAACAACACCGATGATCTTTAAACTTCTACATGATAGTTTTCACTACTTTTATAGAGGAAAATCATAGCTCAAGTAGGAGGATCGAATTTTTATAACATCAAAGTTTGTTGTATCGAGCAAGTTTGTGGGCTAATGTTGAGCATGAATAACTTGGTGAGTCGACATTGGTCAGAAGTCACGTGTGATTTGTGCCGAGGCTCAAATCCTCGTGGAATCATATATATGTGGAATTTTTTTTTTTTTTATATCCGGGGAATCATATATTTAATTATAAAGCAAATATTATGGGGACATTAATATTTACAATACTTATAAAGTTATAATACTCCACACATTTATTATGCTATCTAGTTGCTTTTATTTTTTCATACTTTTCTAAATTTTTTTCTCTTTGTTGCGTCCAGGAGTATTCGCGGCGGTAGAAAAATATAAAGTTTATCGTCTTAGCGTCGTACGAAAATCCGGCATGCAATCAGATAAGAGAAATGGTCTAGCATTTATGAGACACCAAGATTTTTACGTGGAAAACCCCTGAAAAGGGGGAAAACCCACGGGGCCTAGACCAATTTGAATGAATCCACTAGTATTGCAATCGATTACAAATGAGCCCTTCCTCGGTGGAAGGTCTTAACTTGATGTACATCTTATGGAGTACATTACATGATGTTAATACAAAGAGTAATTGTTAACATGTTTGTTTGGTCGGAAGGACCGTAGTCGGAGGTCGACGGAGGACGGAAGACTTGTAGTCGGTGGGCGACGTATGTCTGGAGGACCGTAGTCGGTTGGCGATGGAGGTAGGAAGGACTGTAGTCGGCAGGCGACGTAAGTAAGGAGGATCGTAGTTGGCGGGCGACAGAGGTCAGAAAGACTGTAGTCGGCGGGCTACATAAGTCAGGAGGACCATAGTCGGCAGGCGACAGAGGTCGGAAAGACTATAGTCGGCGGGCGGCATAAGTCCGGAGGACCGTAGTTGGCAGGCGACGAAGGTCAGAAAGACTATAGTCTAACGACGAAGATCAGAAGGACAGCGTCAGGTAGAAGTCCAACAATGAAAAGAAATCCATCTTCGTGTAGATGTCCAGCGAAGTCCGATAATCGGTAGAAGTCCGGCGCCGGGTAGAAACTTGGCGAAGAGTGAAGGTTCGATGTCGGGTAGAAGTCCGACGTCTGTTGGTGGCAAAGGAGAACTCCGGCTTCACTTGGGCGGAGTTTCGGCGTCAGGGAACTCTGTTGCAAATTGGGAAGAATTTCAGGATCACGTGGAAGTTGGGAAGAATTCCTGCATTCTCCCGAATATCACGCAGAATCCCGGCGTGTTCGGGCGGCAGGAAGAGCTCCGGCGGTGGTCGAGGAGGAGGGGATTCTCCTTTTCCCCTTTCTCTTCTTCTTCCCTTCTTCTTCTCTTTCTCCACTTCCCTCCCCCTTGTGTAGAATGAGGGCTCTATTTATAGTTTTTCTGGAGTGGCATAGTCCGTAAATAGGCGTGAGAACAGGGGCAAATTGGGATTGGTTTGAATGGACGGCCGATATCGAATCCTTTGATCATGCACCGTTCGTTGGACATTTGAAGGACTTAATGATGTCGGAATTCCGTGATCTTGGGCTCGTTGGATTCTTCTCGTTGAGCCGCTCGATTCGAGTATAAGCTCGTCAAAATCGGAGACCGTTTGGTAACTCAAATTGCGGTTTGAACCTT